GAAGCGACGATCGAAGAAAAACGGTTAAGCAAGCCAAGGACTTCGCTAACTTCCATTCCTCAGTATTAAAGTCCTTCCATTCATGAGCACTGTCTAAAATTTTCTTCCGGTTTATCTCTGAAAAGATTGCAACCTTTTCGTCTGCAGTTGGCTCAACATGAATTACACAGGAGCCAAGGAGCTTCCATGACGACCTAGGCTCGGACATGACACGTTGTTGTTTGTTGTTATTTCGCGACGTCATAAACGAGTACAATACTGTACATTCATTATATCCACCATCCACTAAACTGCCTTAAAAAAAAAAAAAAAATCGAACCCACGACCTTCAAAAAATAGAAATAAATTTAAAAAATTTAAAAAAAAACTTGCCCCGTGTGGGAATCGAACCCACGATCGCTGAGTTTACTACTCCTGATCCAGCATGACTAAACGGAGGGAGGTAAACCGCGGCCCCTAAACCATATATGCGATAAACCTAGTACCACACCAAGTACCAGTTAGTCAACTCTGATCCTACTAGAAAAAATTCTTTGTATATATACACTACAGGTTACTATTACGCCTGGTCATGGTGTCAAAAATGGGCCGTGGCCAAGAGGGTTTATTTTTTGTCTAATAAAGGGAGAATTAAATTTATAATCGACTTTTGATTGTTACCATCTCCATAACTTACGCACTTTTTTTTAAATAGACAAAGATGTTTGAAAAATTTATTATGCAAATTAGAAAAAAATAGACTAATCATGTTACGGGAAACTTGATGGTTGTGTGTTCAATTCCCACACGAACCTGTAGACCTCTGACAATGGTAGCGGAAGGCTATACCAAAGCTTCGCATTTTTTCGGGCATAATGTCTAGACAGGATTGTTCATTCATATTAAAATTAGCGTTTTGATGGTGTTTTTGAATAGTGTTTTCATCCAATTGCAATTTATATATTTTATATGAGAAGAATCTATGAATATTCATCTTTCCGTTTACTGGGAAGAATGAACAACAAGATATTTGATTGGTTAACAGCCGAAATGGCAATTTAAACGAAGTCACTAAAAAGAGGTCAAAATGCAGCCTCTACGCGTGGTGGGCGGTCAACATAGCACCAATAGAAAAGTGAAAAATGACGGTGCCCTTTTTCAAGCAATGCAGTTGAAACAAATACTAAAGCATTCAGAAAAGAATTGCCTTCCAAATGCAGAAGGGAATACAAAAATCCGACAAGTATTTGCCAGACTCGACTGTGGAAAGGCAAAAAATGACCTAAAAACAGCTAATGTCAGCGTGAAACACTTTTGCTAGGCTATTCTCGTATACTATAATGTTGCAAGAAGAACCATTTCGTATTATTTGGAGCTTTTTTGATTTGTCAATATGTATGGCTGATAATTTTACTTTATTTTGTCAGGTCGAGGTGATTTCACTTTATTTGACAATAGACTGATATTATTTCCACTCACAATAGTGTAGTCGCAATATTAATAATACAAAGGTGAAAGTTAAAAAGGGGACAAAAGCAAAAATCTCTTGATTGATTTTAAATGTAGTGTACAGTACTTGCAAAAAGACTAAATTAATCATTGTTTTAAGTTTGAATGTCGTGTTGTTAATAATAATAATAATAACAATAATATGCCTATTAATAATAATAATAATAATAATAATAATAATAATAATATGCCTTAATAATATAATATGCATAATAATAATAATAATAATAATAATAATAATAATAATAATAATAATAAAGATTTGTAAAGCGAAAACATCTTCACTTACATAGGTGCTGGGCAATGTCAAACAAGCAGTAGAGAAAAAAACAAGATACATATCACAAGAAGAAAATGTAACAAGACTCATCATTTTATTACTTTACCTTCTCCTTTTTTAACTACAGTTATACCAATGTCTTTCTTTATTTACTTTTCTTTTCTTTCTCTTTCTTACACTTTCCTTTTTTGTCATACGTTTCCTTATCTGTTTCCTATTCTTTCTTATGTTTCCTTTTGTTTCTGTTTCATTTTCAGTTTTAGTCTCTCCTTTTCTTTCTTATGCTTCCTTTCCATTCCATTTCTTTCTTATGTCGTTTTTTCTTATTTTCCTTTTCTGTCTTACGATTTCCATTTCTTTTCCTTTTATCTTTTTCTTTCCCCCTTTCTTTCGTATTTGTAGTGAAAATCAGGGCCCCCGTGACCTTTTTCAGGGACAAACGTTTCTCTATTGATTTAGCATCACTAGATAAACCAAAATGAACGGGCGGGCGTGGGGAACCCTCCAGAAAAATGGCGGAACGTTCTCTAAAGTCAGATAAGCTTCTCTTAGCAGACCTTAGCATATGATCATATATTTTTTTCGACAGTATGCAATTTTGTTCTTTGAGATTAGAATGACTTTGTTCTTTTTTTGTTTGTTTTTGTATTGTTTTTTTTTTAATTAGAAGAAATGTAAACCCCAAATATAATGCAAATATTTATAAGAGTGTGTCCCCTCACTCACAGTTATTAATTTTCCTATCTGTTTTCCATTTTTTCTCTCGGTTTATAAAATACTCATTCGGTGACCATCATTAGATTTTTGCTAATTAAAGCTTGATTTCCGCTCCTTTGCATATTTCCCTGCGATATACAACATTTTTAACACTTCAAATTTATTATTTGTCGTATTAAATAACATGGTAGGCCCAAAAAATAAAAATAAAGCAACATTTTTTCTTATGAAATTTCCTTTTTTCGTAGCGGTGAGTGTGCTAATTGGCCAAATATACGGTAAATTTGTTTTATTCGAATCATCATTTTAGACAAGGTACTAAAAAGTCTGCCATATCTACGACCATACTACATCTGAAGATCGAGAATATAGAAGTTGTTAATAGTTTAAATGATTTTTTGTTCTAGAGTGGATTTTTGATATGCCATTAATAATAGAATCAACATTAAAATCGATCTTTGCGTGTATGCTGTAACCATGGCTGTAAATTGTGATTGTTACAGCATGCACGCAAAGATCGTACGCGGCGGATACCCTACGTGGTGGATACCCTACGCGGCGCTATTTAAATGGTCTTTTGTTACTTTTTCGCCAGTGACGTCATTGTAAAATCGTATATAATCGCCTATAACTTCATAAAAAATAGCCAAAAAAGATTTTAAGGTTGATTCTATTATTAATGGCATATCAAAAATCCTCTCTAGAACAAAAAATCATTTTGCTAGTTCTCTTTTAATATTCTACGACGCGACTGCCCCCGATGCAAACATCGCGTCTGCGTTTGATTCACACAGACCCGACGCGACAACAAAATAAATAAGGCCACTGTAACATCAATTTATATCATGAAGTGTACCGTATTTAAATGGCATTCAATCACCTAAAGTACTGTATAAACCAAGCTTTTTTTTAAATTTATTTTGTTTTCTGAAATTCATGTACAGTGTTTGTACTGTACTATCCTAAAAAGAAGCCTTGCTATCTTGAAAAGAAGCCCATGGGCTTCTTTTCGGAGATGGGCTTCTTCTCAAGGCTATTTTGCAAACTAAAAATGGGGACTTCAATTCGAGATTGTCTACATCTTGAGATTAAGCCCACTGGGCTTCAATTTGAGGTTTTACTCAATGCATTAGAAATGTTAATTTGTAGATTTCAACATTATGATGCCCTTTTAAGGCTTTCCCTCATTCCGTGTAAGATTTTCATCAATAATTACTCCGAAGTACTAGCATCGTCCTCGCGCAAATAATCTCCCCTTTTGAATAAGCGCTCCTAAGTAGCACCGCTATTGCAGGTGTTCTTATATTTTATACATTAATCCTTAGATGGGCACCGCTATTGCATTACGAGCCCGCTACTGCAGGTGTTGTTATATTCTATATATTAATCCTTAGATGGACACTGCTATTGCATTATGGGCACCACTACTGCAGGTGTTGTTATATTTTATATATTAATCCTTAAATGGGTCCTGCTACTGAATTATAAGCACCGCCGCTACTGCAGGTGTTGTTATATTTTATACATTAATCCTTAGATGGACACTGCTATTGCATTATGGGCACCACTACTGCAGGTGTTGTTATATTTTATATATTAATCCTTAGATGGGCACTGCTATTGCATTATGGGCACCGCTATTGCAGGTGTTGTTATATTTTATATATTAATCCTTAGATGTGCACTGCTATTGCATTATAAGCACC